GCTGGAGCAGGAGCCCGAGGGGGCCCAGGACCCGCATCGCCGGCCGGCGCTCGCAGCTCGTCGACCCTCCCCAGACCCGACCTCCAGAGGGAGCCGGTCCACTCGTGGCGGAAGCTCAGGCGGTTGCAGCCCGAAACCCCGCTGTTCTCTGCCGTCCCCGCCCCTGCACGTCACTCCGCATCAGAGCTCTGTCCCCGGGCTCTGGGCTTATCTCCTGACCGTCCTGCGCCCCGAGTCCTTGAGAGCCTCGGAACCGGTTAAAAACGCGGAAACCGGCGGTAGCGCTCAGGCCCCGTACCCACCGCCCGGAGCCGCCCGGCTCTGGTTCTGGGCGGCTGAGACCCGTCCCTTCCTGCGGGTTCCGCCGCCTTCCCTCCCTCCCTCCTGCCCACGCGTAGAGCGGTCTGATCGGTACCGCCTACGTCCTCTCCTTTCCAACCAGTTCTGTCCAGTGATGCCGTTTCTATCAGAAGCTACTTTCTCCGTGTTTTATGTGCAAAGACCCCCCGCTGCACTATGGGGCGTAAGAAAATGAGTTTGGAACTGAAGCTGATCTGGGTTTAAGTTCGCACTTGTTGATCTGCACAGCCGGCCTGGGACGGGGTTGGCTCACTCCCTCCCTGGCCACCTCCCCCCAGTCTGTCTTGCAGAGGTGGGAGCGCCCAGCCCGGACCTCCGACCCTGTCTCCTCTGTTCACACTCACTCCCAGGGAGACAGGTGCTGCCTGCAGACGCTGGGCTCCTGCGCTCTGGCCTCTGGCCCAGTCCCGTCCCCTCCCAGGCTTGTCTCCCCACCGTGTACCTGAGACCTCTGTTTGGGTGTCATCTCGAATTTAACACACCAGAACGTGAAGTCCCCGCAGCCCTGCTCGTCTGTGGTCTTCCCTGTGTCAGTAAAGGGCACCTCCCGGGGCCCGGGCCAGGGACTGGGCAGGTAACTTAACCCTTCTTTTTTCCCCACATCTCCCATCTAAATCCATCCGCAAGCACCCCCAGCCCCGCTTCCTCATCGGGAGACGCAGCCCGGCACTTCTCCCGCCCGCTAGCACCGCGATCTGGCCCCAGCCCCTCCCGGCCCCTTTCTGCTATCTCTGTGGTCCTGCAGCCTGCTCCCCAACAAGCCACAGAGCCTCCTTCCGAGGGCCTCGGTCAGCGCCCACCCTAGGTCCTGTCTCAGGCAGGGACTAACACAGGCAGTGTGGGTCCTCCAAGGCCCTCTGTGCCGTGGCCCAGCCTCTAGGGCCTCATCTCCAGCACCCCGGGCACCCTGCGTCTGTCATCCCTGCTGCAGCCAAGCCGTCGTGACCTCAGGGCCTTTGCGCCGTCCTTCCCTCTGCCTGGATGCTCTTCTCCACGATGGCAGCCCCTCGTCCCCTCTAGTTCTCTGCTCCAATGTCACCTCATGGAGAAGGTGGTCCTCCGTGCCCCCCCGGGCTGCAGGCCCTGCCTTCTTGCTCTGAGAACGGGTCTGTGTCTGGCACACCTGGGGTGCATATGCTCATGGAGTTATTTGCTGAATCAGAGCATGAGTGGAGCAGTTCCCACGCACATCAGAGGAGGGTGGAGACTCTCCCTCAGCCCTGTTCTGCCCCAGGCTTCTCTCTGCCTGGGGTTCTGCCAGGCTCGGCCCTTGATGCCACTGCCATGTCTCCCCACCTCATGTCAGCTCAGGGGCCTTTCTCTGTCCTGCTGATCTCCCTCTCTGCAGTCCTGTGCCAGGGACACTGGTGTCACTAAGCTCATCCAGGCCACAGGAGACCCTGATTCCAAGCCATCCTGAGCACGTGCCAACGTTTGTCCAGGTCTCCCCGTTGTCCCCCGGAGGCGCGCTCAGCATGTGGGGATCCGTGCAGGGCAGAGCCCCCCCTGGTGCCCAGAGGGAGGACAGTGTGTGTCCATGTGGGACCACAGCCTGCGGTGCACCTTCTGTGCTGAGTATGTCAGCGCCCCCAGCACTGTTGTCTCTGCCCTCTCTCTGGTTTAGCGTTAGGATGTTTGGTTCTTACTCATTGGATTGTCGATGTTTGTCCCAAGTTTGCAGCATGTGACAATGAACTTTTTAGTTCCTGGGTGAATAGTTGGATGATTTAAAGGGGTTGGATGACTTAATATATGTGCTCGGGGAAGAATTTCAAGCAGAGTAGAGGGTAGAAAATGAAAAGTTAAAAATTACATGTTCTAGAACTAAGAGGTAACCAGTATTACATCTTTTATGGATCTTTGTGTGTTACTGTTTCTTAACATGTGCATTTAGATATTAGAAGCATAGATTTGTCAAAAAATCTACTGTCATCATGGGATGAAGTCGTAGCAATTGCCGACCAGCTCAGACGCCTGGAAGTTCTTAACCTCAGGTATGAACTTGCAGTGGCCTGACTGTCACCTCAGATAAAAGTCCTGATCTCTCCTGCTCCCTCCTGGCATCACTGTAGGGATGAGGTGGGGCGTGGGGCGGGAGGAGGGGAGTGGCTTAGTTGAAGGTAAGTTTAACTTATTCTGTGTTATGGTTTTTCAGGTGGTCCCACAAGGTGATTAATGGGGAGTGTGCTTCACTTTTGATCAGGGAGGTGGGGAGGTTGACATATTGAACTGGAAGGTCTTCCTGGTTCTTATAAGCCTGACCTTAAAAGATGGACCACGCGGGGACCCTGATGCTTACCTGGGGAGGAGAGCTGCTCCATCCTGCAGCTCCTGGCAGGTACCTGCTTTAGGGGTGAGCGGTCTCACCAGCGGTTGCCGAATTCAGCTCTGGTGAGGATTTTTCATGGAGCTCCGGGTTTCACTGAGGTCACAGTGTTCCCGGCCTTCTTGAACATCTGGTTAGCTTTGATCTCAGACCCTCACTTTGCAGGGGCTGCGCCAGGTCTCCCCTTCTGCCCCTGAGCCACCTCTGACACGTACAGAGGAGTCCGCTCCAGCTCAGGCATGTCCGGGGAGCAGGTGCGCGGGCCTGAAGGAGCCCCGCGTCCGAATAGCCAAGTGTGCGTGGGCCCGTGGTGCTGCCTCTTGTGGGGCTAAGGGCTCGTGTGCTAAAGTGGCGGCGTCTTTCAAAATGACTGTCAAGCCGCGGGCGCCTTCTGAGGTTAGGACTTGAGAGAGCACCTCCAGGGCAGTGGTTTATCTCGTCTGTCCTGATAGCAGAAGGGCGGACCCTGCTCAGAAGCCAAATTCCAGCCCCTGGTCCAGCGCAGCGGTCAGACTGCTGAGGGCACGGCTTCCCATCACGGCGTCCCGCCCGCGGCCCATCAGGCCCATCAGGCCGGGTGACCTGACGGGGGCTGCCGGAGCTGCCCCGACCCCGTGCGCCCATGCCAGGCGTCAGGAAGTTGTGTGTTGTTAATGTCAAAAATTAAGTAGTCTTCGGGGGAGGGTCAGCTCAGGGGCAGAGCACATGCTCAGCATGCACGGGGGCCTGGGTTCAGTCCCCAGGCCCTCCATTCAGTCGGTCAGTCAGTCAGTCAATCTAATGACCTCGGCGCCAAAAACAAACAAGAAGCTAGATGGTCCTGACTAACTTTGTTTTTGATTTAATTGCATTTGAAAGTTGAGACAAACCAAGCTCTGCACAGTAAACCGCAGACTCGCGGTGACTGTGTGAGTTGGGCCCACCTACGGCAGTGAGCACTTTGTGTCTCTTTTTCCACACAGTGAAAATAAACTGACATTTCCCTCTGGCTCACCACCTCCATCCGGAACATTCTCTGCACTGAAGGAGCTGGTCCTGAACCGGACGGGGATAACCTGGGCTCAGGTAACCGTATTTCTTTGCTTTATTAGCCAGTAATGGGCAGTTTCAGGTTCTTGGTTTACCAGGGGATTGAAGCACAGCAGTGGCTTTGTTTTAACCACCTCATTATCCAGATAACAGGGCTCTGCAGACTGCTTTCCAGGAAGGAGGCAGCCAGTCCTGGTGGTTGTGGGTGAAGCCTGGGGTTCCTCGGGCAGTTTCGTGTCTCCCTAGCCTCTTGCTCCGCCGTGTCTGTAGCAGACGTGGGCCAGAAGCTTCTGGCCGCCCCGCTCCCCGCCAGGGTCCCTAGGGTGAGGCCGAGCCCAGGGTGGGCTCTGCTGCCTGCTCTCGCTCGCAGTTCACCCGGGAAGGCACCACTTGTGGTTGGTGGCCGGATCCCGAGTGGACGTGAGCGCCCCCGCCTGGCAGCCTCCAGGCCTCGGAGCCGGAACTGCCGTGTTCTGTCAGGGTAACTGACCTCACACCCCAGGACATCCCACTTCCAGCCAAGTGCGAACAGGTCCGTCCCAGCAGTCGTCCATCTGGGACTTGCCGCCATGGCTGCCTGACTTCCTCCTATGGCTCCTTCCTTGAGAGCTCCTCCCTCCCCGGACAGGAGGGGCTCCTGGAAACTCGGGCAGTGGAGATGCCAGTTACGGTCAAGTGAGAACATTGGACTCGTTGAGAAATCTTGTCCTGTTAGTAATATTCTCCATAAAACCAGTCTGGCACTGAGGATTGAGGAGGGGGTTTAGCATCAGTTTCCTTCCTTTGGTTCAACAGACTACATCCAATAATAAGAAGGTGCTAGGCCACCACCTCCAGTGCCACTTTGTCCAGGTCGGGATTCACCTGAGCGTGGGCTGACTCCTGCCTCGGGGCGTTCTGAGTGCACAGGGTACCTGCTCCCGTGTCACTGAAGCCCAGGCCTGGAAGTTGTTCATTCTGTCACCTGTCCACAAGCACCACTGGCCCCGAGGTTCTGCAACACAACGGCCAGAGGCACTTCATTTCTAAAACAGGGACTGAACTGAGCTCGCACGGAGGGTCTAGAAATACACACACAGGGGAAGGACCAGCGAGGCCGCTTCACCCTGACTTGTTTTCCCCCCAGGTGCTCTGCTGTGCCTCTGGGTGGCCAGTCCTGGAGAAGCTGTACCTTGAGTCCAACAATATCATCATTTCAGAAAGGTAACCAGGGTTTATGCGTCTGTCACCCCTCAGTCCTTCTGAATAAGTAAATGGTCTCATCATACCTCAGTAAATTTTAGAAGGATTTGCAAATAAGGATTAGAAAAATGCTCATTATGTATTGCCTTCGCAAATCAGAATGTCAACTCAAACTTCACTAAGAGGTTCTAATTAAGGAAACCCCATCAGAGCAAAAGCCTTGAATGAAATGTTTTTGAGGACATGAATCGTATCAGTTTTACATAAATATGTTTAACTTCTATTTCTAAATGGAAGTTCTGTAGGAAATGCTACAAGGATTAAATGATGGAGTTTAAATTAGCGTTGTCTCCGTATCCACAGTCAACCACATAGTCAGCCAGCCGCAGATGGAAAATATTTGGGGGGAAAATTCCAGAAAATTCCTAAAAGTAAAACTTGAATTTGTGGTGCACTGGCACCACTCACGGAGCATTTACATTGCATCGGGTATTGTCAGTGCTCTGGAGATGACCTAAAGGCATCCACACACGCGGGATGTGTGGAGGTTGGATGCAAATACTGTGTCATTTTATGTAAGGGACTGGAGCGTCCTCAGAATTTGGTGTCCGCAAAGGTCCAGGAACCAATCCCCCATGAATACTGAGGGACGACTTTATATATAAAAAGCCCATTTTCTTTGGTAAATTAAATATGTTGCTGCCTCATTTTCCTCTTTGGTTGGTATCGTTAAATTACTATGTAAAATAAACGTGGTCAAACTTATATGTTCTCAAAGGATTCAAAATAATGAAATTTTACTGTTCAGAGTGATTTTATGTATTATACAGGCAAATGCAGGTTTTTAAAAAGTTTAATTTTGAGGAAATTTTAGATTCTCATGCAGTTATGAGAAGTGGTACCCAGAGATCATGTGTACCTGTTACCATGTGCCCCGCTGGTAACATCCTGCAGAGGTGTGGTCCAGTGTCACGGCCCGGACCTGAGACTCGTCCAGTCGAGTACGGAACACGCCCTTCACCACCAGCACCCCATCCGCTGCCCTTTTAGAGGCGAATCACACGCCTGCCTCCCACCCCCAGCCCCTCCTTAACGCCAAGTGGCAGGTATTTTAAGGCTATATCTTTGACCACAATAAAGAGATTAAATTTATGTTGAAAAATGTTGTTTTCCATACAGGCCCGTGGATGTTCTGCAGACGGTCAAGTTACTAGACCTTTCCTCTAATCAATTAATTGATGAAAACCAGCTGTTTCTAATAGCACATCTGCCCAGGTAATCTAAGATGCCTGTTCCCATAGTGTTTAGTAACATTTTAGTGAGTGGATCATATGCTGTATGTACTTTCTGAGTGGAAATGTGGTGGTGGTGGAATTCCCAACCTGAGTCATTCCCTTGGGGAGGTTTTTACTTGAATTCGTTGGGATAATTGACTTGTGAACCGTGTCTCTGTCTGTACTGGGTAACTGAAGAATTTGGCCCCGGGGCTAAAATCAAGTCTGCCTTTGTTAAGCTTTGGGAAGCGAGACTGTGTCTCTTTCCTCCCTGAGACCCGCTTAGCACCTGGCACAGCAGGAGACACAGTAACTGTTTGATGATCGCAGAATCATCAGAAAGTGGCAGAGTCCACGCCCCATGTGGGACTTCCTGGTTTCTAAGCACTGCACATGGGACGAAAGCCTGGGGTGTAGGAAGAAACTTGCCAAGCCAGTCCGGGTGATAGCCCATAGCGTTTTACCTTGTTCTGTGTGACCAAATCTGACCTTTTAAATTTCAGATTAGAGCAGCTCATCCTTTCTGACATTGGGATTTCTTCCATACATTTTCCGGATGCTGGAATTGGTACATGACATGATTAAGTAACCTCGCCCTGCCCCGTGCTTGAGCTTGCTTCCCGTCCACTGTGTGACCGAGTCCTCCTTTTTCTAGGGTGCAAGACGTCCATGTTCCCGTCCTTGCAGTACCTCGTTCTAAATGACAATCAGATATCACACGTAAGGGCTCCTTCAGAATGGCCAGACCTGGTTGTCCACTCTCATGGGGGTTTGTAAGCTCCTTCTATTCAAGAGTATTTTAAATTGAAAGAGAGATGCTTCCTCAGGGTGAAACTCCTCATACCAACCCCAGAATCCTCGCTCGCACGTACGCAGCCCGTCGGTGGCTTTCACGGCCCCGGGGGCGCTAGCTGCAGGGGACGTCCCGGGCTCCGGGGCAGCGGGGGCCTGGGCGTTGCTGTCGCTGGTCCAGATCATCTGGAAAACCAGCCTGAAACGTGTTTCTTTCCGTGTGTCCTCCGTGGCCGGGTGGCAGTGGTCGGTTATCAGTGAGCTGGACAAGTTGCCGAGCCTGCACGCCCTGTCGTGCGCCAGGAACCCCCTGACCGAGGGCGGCAGAGACGCGCAGACCACCCGCCAGCTCATCATCGCCAGGGTCGGTCAGCTCCGAACCCTCAACAAGTGCGCGGTGAGCGGGACGGGCGGGCCCGCGGGAGGCGGGGGCGGGGGCGGGCTGCGTGGGGCCCAGGGAGTC